AAAGATAATATAAAAAAAAAAGAAAAAAGACAAATCTATAAAAAATATCCACCAAAAAATCTGATTTTAAAACATACAACCGACCACTAAAATTATTATTTTAAAATTTGTAAAATTAAAAATAATAGTTGTGTCTCATAAAATCCCAGAAAAGCCATTTTTTCCTAATAATTAAAATTAAAACTAATAATTAAATAAAAATAAGAAAAAAAAATGGAAAAATTGTCAAAACTGTAAATTATCTTTGAAAATCTATATTTTTACTGTATGTAAATATTATTATTTTATAGATTTTTGAGAATGTTTGAAATAAATATTAGGTATATTAGGGTTTGTTTTTTTTTAAAAAGGTAAATTAAAAAAAATTAATATAAAATAATATAATATAATCTAATATAATATAATAATAAACAGAGAATCATGAACCACATCAGCACCTTGTGGACTAGACGGACTGCAGGCAGCAGCTGTAAACACCTGATTCTTCTTCTACTTCTTCTTCTTCTTCTTCTTCTCCAGCTGCAGGTATCAGCCGCTCAGGATCAGCTGGAGGTCGGCGGCTGATCTGATTCTGAAGCGACAATCAGAATATTCAGAACAATAACGGATTACCGGGCTGCGCTCGCCGCCATCTGTCGTCCAACCCTGTTGTTCACTTGCGGTTATTTGTGTGTTTACATGTTGTTTAGATGTTGTTCCAGGGGCTGCTGGGAAACGGAGTCTCTGCAGGAGGAGGGAAACAGCTCATGTTTGCTCTTCATGGTCTCAACCTTGCCTGCAACATAACTCACTGGCTTTTATCCACCGACTCATTTCCTGACGTTAATAATTAAATTTCCAAACGACCTGAAATCAGCCAGATGCACGATTTAAGATTTAAAACAAACGTTTCCACCAAATACAACATCGATACGCTCGTGGATCCCCTCCCAAAAAGTTCTAATAACCTGAGAAGAGGCTAAATTTATCCTGTCTTGCATTATTTTTATATTTTTTTGCAGCTAACGTTTTTTAAACGTGATTAAATCATCGACATACACGTCCAGTAAACTCACCGAAGAAAGTTTTTGAATTAACTGAAAAAAATTCTTCACAAAATAAACCAAAAAAACAACTTTAATGTCAAAACTCAGGTATATCAAATTAATTAAATACAATTAAATTAAACCAAATACAATTAAATCAAATCAAATTAAATTTAATTATATCAAATTAAATTAAAATAAATCAAATTAAATTAAATACAATTAAATTAAATTGCATCAAAATAAATTAAGTACAATTAAATCAAATTAAAATAAATTAAATCAAATTAAATTATATGAAATTAAATTAAATACAATAAAAGTAAATTAAATTAAATGTGTGTATTTTTGTTCCTGCTGCAGGATTTAAAGACGCTGAAACCACACAATGTGACTTTTTGTTCCTCCTCTGTTGCACTTTATGTTTTTTTTGTCCTTTGCAGCCCCAGACCCAGACCCAGACCCAGACCCAGGTCCAGGTCCAGCTCCTCCTCCTCCTCTGGAGCTCCAGTTCCGGCCGTCTGACTCTCTGTAATCTGACTCAATAATCTTCAGTCATTGGCCGACGACCTGCTCCTCTGCAGCCAATCAGAGCTGAGCAGGCCGAGGCCGACCCGGACCTGGAGGAGGCTCAGGTCGTCTGCAGCCTTCGTAACAGCCCGTCTGGCCTGGAGGAGGCTGGTCCACTTTCATCCCAGAGACCAGGTCCTCCAGAGACTGGAGCACCTGTTGGATCACAGGTGTTGAGTAACAGCGACGAGGAAATCTTCAGCCTCAGAGGAGGGACAGAAACCAGGCTGGAGCTGTGAAACATATCAGAGGATGTTCTGAGTGTTTGGACTCTGATCAGTGAGTGTTCAGTACGTTTTAAACTCTTCATGGCAGGAAGTCACTGAGAAGATCCAACCAAGTGATGAACAGAACCAGTCTGATGCTTTTTCTGGCTCCAGACACCAGAAAGCAGCCGCTGGTTCAGCAGAACCACACACGACTGCTGCACCGGGTTCAGCAGAACCACACACGACTGCTGCACCGGGAAACGACATCGACACTGTAGTTAATTAAATCCATTTAATTAACTAAAGTTTATCAAACGAAGCCGCCTTCTATTAAATGTTTGGAATCCATAATAAACGTAAAACACGTCAGTATTTCTGCTACAATCTGGTTAATTCCCAGTTTATATATTTTAAAAGAAGAAAATGCTGCAGGTAGAAAATAAAATAAAATAAATTCCATTTCAGCAGTTTGAAGTGTAGGTTTTCTTAAAATTCTCACTTTAAAATAAATACAGATAATTAAGAGTAAATTCACAGAAAAAAAAGTTAATTTGCATGTTAAAAAAAGCAAAATCTGTATTTTACAAAAAGCAATTTGTTCTTTTACAGCGTGTGACCATAAAACGACCAGCTGGTCTATAAATCAGCAAAATAAATAAAAAATAAACCTTTAAAAATCATCATTTTACAGATAGTTGCTCTTATTTGAAAGAAGAAATATGAAGTATAGAAAAAGGGAAAATTATCCTTTTAATTGTTAGAAAAATGTATATTTTTTTCCTGCTCTGCTAAATTGTAGATAATCTCAAATAAATGTCACCAAAATATATATTTTTGATTATTTTTATTTTATAATTTTATAATTCATGTGATTATTTACATGTAAACTTTTTTTTAAAGTCCAAAACTGTAAATATTATATTAAATTATAATATATGTCCACATAAGAAAAAAAAAATTATTTTGCATTAAAAAAAAAAAAAAAAAAACGTATTGAAATCAGCAATTTTTTTTTTTTTTTAAATCTAGAAATTGTTGCGGTTATTTTCACCATTTTAACAGTTTTTGAACATTAAAGTAATCCACGTATTTTTATTTTTTATTTTTTTGTGCCAGATTTTTCTCACAGAATTGTTTTCCAGGATAATTTACAGTCTCGGCATTAAACAGTAAAACTCTCCGGAGTCTGTAATTAATCATTTATCGGCTGATTGAGAGCCCACGTTTTCCTGCCACTTCATCGTCTGGACGTCTGGGAGGTAAATAACCGGAGCAGGTCGGAGGTTTTCTCATCAAGCCCGTCGCCCTTAATCACCTTAACGAGCTGGAAATTAGCCTCCCTCTGCCTCCCTCTGCTCCCCCTTTTCTCCCTTTTCACAGCTCTGTGGATTAGACGGATTACACGTCTGAAACTCTGCTTTTCTTCAGGATCCACCGTCAGATAGATAGATAGANAAAAAATCAGTATTTTACAGATTCTGAATTATTTGAAAAAAAAAATACAACTAAAAAATATAATGTTCCTTCAAAATTAATAAAATTACAAATAATATTCAGAAAGAATCCCAGAATAAAAGCTTTAAAAAAATGTAAATAAATGTTTTTTTTATTTTAATATTAACCATAAACAAAACAAAAACAGGCCAAAAGCTAAATCATATCCACACTAAATATGAATATTTCTACACAGTCATTTGTTCTTTTACAACTTCTGACCAAAACATTACACATTTTTACTGTATTTAATGTTATTATTTTACAAATATTTGCGTCATTTAAAATAAATTTTATGTATATTAAGGATTAAAAATGCTAAATTAATATTATTTTAAATTATTTAAATTGCAAAGTGATAGAAAAACAGTAAAATTGTAAATAATGTTCACATAGATGTCAAGAGTTATTTCACAAATTACAAGTTTTTTTTATTTTATTTTTTAACGGTATTTATATTTTAGCAAAAACCTGAATAATTTACAGATCTTTTATGTTATTTGAAAGAACGATGATGTTCGCTGAGGTTTGAAAAACTGCATGAGCTGCAGTTATTTTACAGGCTTTAGTTGAATCCCAGCTAGATGCAGTGAAGGAGGCGCAGCGGCTGCACGCTCCTGGCCGGTGGTCAACAGGTGGGTCGAGGACCTCCGACCCTCCCCCTGGAGCCTCCTGGCGGCTCAGGGCCTCTAGATCTGTCTGGCAGACAGCGAGGGGGGATTTCAGCCCCAAATCCAGCGGATCAATAAAAATGTCTGCTAATTAGGCCGGACAGGAGGGAGAGGAGGGACGAGAGTGAGGCAGAAAAGAAAACCAGACGGATCAGGAGAGTCCCAGACGGAGTGGTGACCAGGTGAAGGTCTGGAGGTCCTGGATCAGACCTCCATCACTCTCCTCCCCGCTCGGTTTCTCTGACCCCAATCCTCCTCTTCCTCCTCCTTCCTTCGTCACTTTGACCTAAATCTCTCCGTTTAATCTGCTTCTTCTCTGGAGAACAATCAACCCCCTAATTGTCTTAATCTGGCTGCTGGTCTTTTATTGTCTCTGTGGGCGTCAGAACCAGCAGATCGATAGTCGGCACCGGGCCGCGGCTCGGATCGATTCAAGGCGTTTAATCAACATGAGGAAACAGAGAAAGACAAGAGAGAGGCAGGAGGAGGAGCTGCAGGGCTGGAGGACGTTCAGAGTAACTAAAGTTACACCCTGAAAAAAACTCAGCGATGTGTGTGGTTTGGTTTTAAACGATTTCCTATTATTTTACCAAAAAAAAGGAAAAAATATGTATAAAGTGAAATGACAGGATTTAAATGTTAATCCTAAAAAAACAAAATAAAGTTCACATAAAAAAAAAAATCTATGTTTTGGACTTTGATTGANTGACTTTCTTAAAACTTAATTCGTGTCATTTTACGCACTGCGCCTGCGCACAGCTCCGCGCCTGGATGACGCGTCACTTCCTGGTGAAAACATGTGTTTGTGGTTAAACTTTCACTTTCGCTTCCAGCTGCTCTGACTGTGTGCAGCCGCTGCGTCCAGAGCGACCGAAAACAGGCAGAAAGACGACAGAGGGAACCTCCAGAGAACCTCCAGAGAACCTCAGCATGGCCTTTCAGTACCCGGCGGCCCGCAGAGATGAGAGCCAGGTCAGTGTCCGCTCCGTGTCCGCGTCATGTCCGCGTCCGTCCGTCCGTCCGTCGGCGGACAAACCGGACGTACAGGTGGAGAGTCACATGATAACAACAACAAAGAAAAAAGGCGAAGGAAGCAAAACCTAAAGTTTCCCGCCGACTTCAGAGCGTGTACATGAAACGCTGCGTCATTCATTTCCGCGTGTCCGTCCTGCAGCTGAAGTCACGTCCACGCCCCCGAGGCAGCGTCAGTCGTTCACGTTGTGTCCGTCTGTCCATCCTCCAGCAGGCCCACAGCGGCTCTGCAGGAATCAGTCAGAACTCATTAAAAACAAAAAGTACATCCCATCAGAGGACAAACTGGTTCTACAAACACGAGCCCAACATGCAAACATGTTCAATTTAACAACTACATTTCTGTGGTTCTGTGGTTCTGTATCTGCAGAACCTTTATCTACTGACCAGAGTTCTGCCTCCAGACTGTGAATGTTCCAGAGGTCCAGGTCGTTCAAGTCCACAGAGGAGGGTCCAGATTGATCACTTTAATGGACCTTTTCCATCACTTCTGAGCCTCAGAACTTCATCAGTACAGCAGATAGACACATGACATTTAGGAGGAAGAACACATCTGGGTTCTGCTAGAACCTGACACCAGATCAGTTCTACATCCATCCAGGTGTCTCAGCCTAAACACTACATCTGTCTTCAGAAATTTTGAGTATTTTTTTAAACACAAAAATACAGAAGATCACCACAAAAATGGGCAAAATTGGCAGAGAAAAGATGTAATATCACCCAAAAGGACCAAAATTACGACATAATCACCACAAAAAAATAAATAAAATCAACTCAAAAACAGGCATAAATAAGACTGAAAACTGCTGCAAACAAAGATGCAAAACCACCAACAACAGGGCGACACAGCAAGAGATAGGCTTTATTTTCCATCCATCCAGGCGTCTCAGTCTGAACACTGGACCTGGTTCTGTTCATGTCCTCTAACAGCAGCTGGTTCCATGTCTCATCATTTGTTCAAAATGAGCCAAAAACTTTTAAAATTTGTCCTGAAACTTTGAGAAAATGACAAAAACTTTTCCAAAAGGGCTAAAGAATGTGTCCAGAATGACTGAACCCTTCCCAAAATTAATAAAAACAAACAAAATGAATCGAAAATTCACCAAACTGACCTCAGATTATTCAAAAATGGTCTAAAATACCTCAAAACGTTTCTTGAATGACATGAACTTGAAAAAAATGACTCAATATGTGTGAAATACCAAAGACACGAGGTCCAAAACATCCAGAACCTGCTGTAAATGAGTTAATGATGAAACAAAATGAATTAAAACTTCTCCAATCAATGTCCTCTGCCAGCAGCTGGTAGCATCAGTATTATGGGATGTCTCATAGTGGAACCAGTCAGACTGCAGCAGGTTAATGTCTATGAGGAAACTTTACAAAGTGCATTCTGGGTAAAC